GACGAGGCATGTTTTAGTTTAGGTTATACTGAGCAGTTCAGGGGCTAAAAAGTGGAACTTCATAACATTTAAACATTTAAACCTTTAAAAAACTGAGTGATAGTAAATCAACGGAGAGGTTCCTTTATTAGATAATGATGTAATATATCATCTTATTTCTGCAATGTCTGCTAATTAAAATAAGATAAGTTAAAATTATAAAATAGTTTTTTCGTTGGTAATTCATTCAATTGTTTACCATTATGGGTTGGGTACATTCAAAATATAAAAATTATAAGACATAAACAGTTTATTCATATCCAAAAACAAGTAATCTTCTTTATCAACTATGTTATGTCAATAAGAACAGTACGTGTAAAAACATTTACATAAACGCACAAAAAAGTCAACAAGTTTTCAAACAATTTACAGATATTTGTTGGTAACAAAGAAGAATGAAATTTTAAATAATAGTTGTCAAATAAAGCTTACTTTTCTTTTACCAAATGGAGCTCAAAAGGCAATTCATTACACTTAAGCTCTCTTGAGGACTCATTTAAAAGAGCCCTTACACTAATCCTCTAACAGCTTTATGAACGAAACACAGTTCAACGTTACTTTAACGTCACAATGATTGAATAATTTTAACTAATCTTTTATTCCATAACATACCCTCTATGTTATTTCATTTGTAGTACGTAATATTTGACTTGAGTTATTACGAGAAAATTACACGATACAGTTAAATTTATTTTAATGTTTACTCATTTCGGTGAACATGCCTAATTTTAAGGTAAACATGAAGATGAGGCCTGAAAATTATTGATATTTCAAGTCCAGATCGTGTTTGATTCAATATAAAATTTTTCAGCATCTGAAGAATGTAATGTCAGAGTTTTATTTATTTCATAAAACGTTTAGTTTTAAAATTGGCGGGACAAACTGACACATCAAACCATAGATTTGTGTAGTTTTTATTGTCAGCCTGTCAGCAAACAGATGATTGATTCATCACTTAACACAGAATATTGTAATTAGTTGGTAGACCATTTCAACAGATTGCACCACGTGTTTTAGGTTTAAATCTTTACATTACATGGGAAGTCTATTCTGTGTGTAGTCAATGATACAACCTATTCCTGTGAATCGATTGATTAACTTTTCAGTGCACGGCAAATATTGCCTTTACAATATCAGATGAGCCATTACAAATAATAACAGAATAACATAGATGAATAAAAGTAAGGCATAGACAACAGTAGAATAAACTAGTAAACACCATATGGATAAGAGCAGTTAGAAAAATCTATATATTTAATACGCTAGGCATATTTTGGTCATAATTGTTTTGGAGCGGTGGTGCTACCGATCACCATGTCCAAGGTGTCGTTAGAAAGGTCTTAGCATGTAGTTTTGCCATCAAACAAAAAAACTTTGAAATTCCATCAGGGCCCTGCTCCAGTGGCCTTCAAAGTTCCCACGTTATTCTTATGGAGAAAATGTTTGTTTACATTTGAACAGATGAATACTTTGACACTAATATTTGAAACCGCTGGTTATACTAAAATTTTGAACAAAATCAAAACATAACCAAAAAACGTTCGACATAATGGAGACTATAAGACGTTAACCAGGACGGCCAATAGGAGGAGGCTGACGAACTTTAACTGGTAGATGTGAAAGAAATACAAACAATACTATTGTCATTGATAGCCGAATACAGCAAGCACCCTTCCGTGTGGGGTTTAAGTGTGCTCTCCAACAGCCACCTGAAGATTTCACATTCAATTTAGATCTGTTGGTTAAATCGCTGCATAAGCTGACAATGAGGCGGGTAGGACCACATTGGAAACAGAAGAGAGAAGATATTAGATGACTGGCAAATGCGTCGGGAGCAGAGTGTTTTATGTTAACATTTTTAAGGTAAACATTTGGATATATACCTAACATCAGAAAGGGACTGGAACATGATTGGGAGATGGGCAATTATGAAACGCAGTTTGTCACAGGACATGGCAAATTTCAAGGCAAATTTGAGAAGATTTCACATGGTGGAAAAGTAAGTATGTAGATGTGGAGAAATAAAAACCAAAAGAAACGTTTCTATAAATTGTTCACTTCAGGAGACAAATAGGAGAGAACTGGAATAAGTCTTGGATAAGAGAGGTCTAGAGATAAGAAAATAAAACATGATGAGTGACAAGGAAACAAGTGAGAATTTAGAAAATTAGCTAGGGAAATAGGAAAAACCAGGGATACATACAGGCGTCAAAATTTAAAAAAGAAGCAAACAAAAACTAAGAAAGAAAAGGAATGAAAACCTGCCCATGAAGGGGAGAGGAAAGGTTAGAGCGAATCTCAATGATCCCTATCGCTCAGGGCGGTATGGGGACGGGAGTCGTGCTGTTAGGCTTTTGGACCCATAATGTGTCTGGAACCTAATGCGGATATGAGTAAGGCTATTTGTAGAAAACACTATTTACAATAAATGTTGATTATATCAATCTGTTATGTACATCTTGAGTAGTTCCATTATCTTTGAGTCGAATATTTTAAAGTAATCAGAAATTATAACTGTTATTAGTTTTAAAATAACACCTGTAATACTTAGCAATTACTCGAATTCGAGCAACAGGTACACTAGTATTTTAAATTGGCTACATCCATAATCCAATAAATCAGATTACTGAATGATTAAATAGTTATTTGTGTAACTAGTGGTGAAAGTGGCACTTTGCTGCACACGAGAGCAATGTTTACGCACGAATGATCTCGAGTGCAGCAAAGGCCTTTTTCACTCGTGTTACACATTATATTTTTCCTACAGTCACTATAAAGCATTTAAATAATTAGTCTTTCAAACACTATGCAACACGTTTTTAGGTTCAGCTGGCAACACAAATGGTGCCCTAGAGAAAGTAGTACCCGCGGTCCATATCACTCCGCTATTTTTCCTCGGCAAGAAATGTGCTCCGCGTTTTGAGAATATAGTTCCGTATGTTTCTGTAATTTGAAGTGGTTTCCGCGCCTAAAAAAATGCTTAAAAGGTATTTTCTTGTTTATTAAGATCGTAGGAAGGTTTTAAAAACGTTTAAAAGAAAAGTCCAGAAAGTTCAGAAATACCGAAACTATAAACACGAAATGACAGGTTAAATCGTAGTTATAATAGTCAATCAGCTGCTCATAGTATAATTATCTTTAAGTGTTGCCAACCTATTTCCAAGCGTACACGGATTACGTGCATAATGGAACCACGCTGTTTTGTGTTGTTTCGTTGGAATCCTGATGTGCGGCAAAGTATAAACCGTACGGCAAAGTATAAACCGTACGGCAAAGTATAAATATGCAGCAATTAGCAGCTTTCTGTACTATAAACAGTACAAGGAAGCCAACTTTGTCGGGTGACTGTAGGAAAATAATATATATTTCCTTCATTCTTCAAATTTTTAAACATAATATTTTCCTACAGTCACCCGACAAAGTTGGCTTCCTTGTACTGTTTATAGTCCAGAAAGCTGCTAATTGCTGCATATTTATACTTTGCCGTACGGTTTATACTTTGCCGTACGGTTTATACTTTGCCGCACATCAGGATTCCAACGAAACAACACAAAACAGCGTGGTTCTATTACGCACGTAATCCGTGTACGCTTGGAAATAGGTTGGCAACACTTAAAGATAAAAATTCTACGAACAGCTGATTGACTATTATAACTACGATTTAACCTGTCATTTCGTGTTTATAGTTTCGGTATTTCTGAACTTTCTGGACTTTTCTTTTAAACGTTTTTAAAACATTCCTACGATCTTAATAAACAATAAAATACCTTTAAAGCATTTTTTTAGGCGCGGAAACCACTTCAAACTACAAAAAAATACGGAACTATATTCTCAAAACGCGGAGCACATAGCACATTTCTTGCCGAGGAAAAATAGCGGAGTGATACGGACCGCGGGTACTACTTTCTCTAGGGCACCATTTGTGTTGCCAGCTGAACCTAAAAACGTGTTGTATAGTGTTTGGAAGACTAATTATTTAAATGCTTTATAGTGACTGTAGGAAAAATATAATGTGTAACACGAGTGAAAAAGGCCTTTGCTGCACTCGAGATCATTCGTGCGTAAACATTGCTCTCGTGTGCAGCAAAGTGCCACTTTCACCACTAGTTACACAAATAACTATTTAATATCAATCAGCTGACCTACCTACCTCAAATTGTAATTCTCAAACCCTACTGTGGTTTTGTCAATATAATAGTTGGTTGAAGTAATGTACGAGTATGTTTGTTTCAAAGTATCGAACACTCAATACTTCAAATAATGTGTGTAATTAAATATAAATAAAACAATAATTTAAAATCTAACCAACGTTTTTGAATTTTGTACATAAGTGGTGTATACATTAATCCCACAATAATGAATTAGTGGTTTGTTGTGTTCAAAATATTGTATTGTGTTTGTTGTTTGTTTGAAATTTGTATGGTAAAAGCTCATTTTCTAGACTGTACTAAAACTGTACCATGCCGTATAATCACAATTTAAGCTGTGATCGAACGTCATCTGAACGAACTAATGTACAACAATAAATTTCAAAAAAAAAAAAAAAAAAAAAAATACTATCTCGAGAATAGGTATAACTAATTAGAAGAATATTTTAATTTTATGTCAACACAATTGTTTCTTATTTCGAGAATGACAAATGATCTAGCACTCTTATAGTAATTAGATTTTTTTGGCATGGCATAGGTGAACGGAAATGCTGCCTTATATTCATTATATATTTATACCAGGAGAAAAGTATGAATTCAAACATTGTATTATACTGTATCAGCAAATGAAAACAGAAATAAATACAGCACATGCTGTTTACACCCATATTGCTCAAAATGTTCCATAAATACAATATTTTGTAACATGTGGAATGTCAATGAAACTGAGTATTCATCGACTGTTTCAACATTCAATCAGCAAATTGATTAATCAATGGGATTGCCTCTTGAATGTAATGTTGGATGTTTCAGTCTAAACTTAACTGTGAAGTTCTGCATGAAGACTTAGCTTTCGAGGTCCGTTGGGCAGTTGCCGGAGACAGCATCGTAGTCCAACTGGTAGCCAAGCTAGGTAAGTTAAATATACAGTACAATTACAAATATACAAATTTAATACGCTAAACATTACATTTCAGTAAGTAAAATATATTATTTTCAATAAAAAATTGCAGAAAATTGTATCTACTTCAAATTTATGATTGTTAGTAAAATATTAAGACTGTCCCGAGCTCTAACTCGTAAAAATGAAGGAATGCTTTATACTTAATACTCCATAATTTGTAAACGGACATAACATTAATGAAAATGAATGACATCGAAAAAATATACAATGGTGTAAAGCAATTTACACCTCCCTTAACTGATTTACTATTTGATATGTTAGGAATAGGTTTGCGGCAACCCTCATTGATATAAAGGGGGTACATTAATAATGGTCAATCTAAAAAATACCCTAAGAGGTAGTAGGTAGAAGGGTTTGGTTAAACATTTTCAAAGGGGAAGCAAAGTTCACTTTCATAATTTTTCATGTCTTGATAAAACTAAACAACTTACATAAAGTACATAAAAATCAGACCTCTAAAACGCGTCAAAATCTTAAGTCAATCGAGTTTAAAATAAAATCAGTGTAGGGTCAAATTACGTTATAACGAACCTAGATATTCCTTTGAGACTTCGAGAAAAGCTAACAAAACAACGTTATCAGTTTTCACAACAGTGCAACGGTTTAGGATTTAATTGGTAATTACGAGGTTGGCGGTTCCATAAACGCGAAGACCAGCAGCAGAACTGTGTTAGTCGTGAATGTTAGCTGTTCTGTAATAACCCGTAACGAGTCAGCTGCAATAAACCTAACATCAGCTGATTCTCACGCCAGTCACGTGGTACGTCACCTTGGCTCCTCGGCGGTAACCACCTTTCTATGGCATAAACTCTCTTGGCTCCTCAGTGATAGTGGCTCTTCTTACATCATTGCACTACACTAGAACTGTACAACGTGGCCTTTATGTCAGGAGTGGAATGATTAATTGCAACACTAAAATACTTGTTTAAGAGTATAGTGATGTAAAAGTGAAGTGGTACAAGGGATATGGTTTCCCCAAACACACATTGTTTTTAACTACCGGTATTTATTACGTCTAGGCAACTTTATACGATGCATTGTACACAACCTTGTGAAATCTCTGAAATTCAATTGGGCGGGCTGCTTGCGTAGTGCTTACCCACTAAATTAACTACACAAAATATAAAATAAATCCATAACATTAATCAATGAGAAAAATAAGCCTTCATGAAAGAAATCTGTTTTTCGACATAGAAGTCGACAATTTACTCAACAAAAGCCAATTCAGAGAGTAATTCCAATTCCCTGTTTTATACCCGTTATTAAAAGTAAGTGCTTAAACTGATTTAATTTTCTTTCCAATCCTCTGATGAAAATCGGGAAAGTATATTTCCCTGGTTTTATGGTGATGTTGATCTTATAATTTACTAAAGTCAATGTTAGCTAGCAGACGAGAAAAGAAAGCTAAGAAATGTATCCTACTAAACTCACGCATTTATGTGATGTATTTGAGTTTTCATAATTATCATTATTTCATACTTAAACCTACAACTAGGAAAGAGTTTTATTAAAATGATATAGTTTCAAACAAAACAAGGGCTTAAACAACAAGCAAAACTATTTCTATATTTGGAATACTCCTGGAAGCGTAATCACGTACGATTCACCGATTTCTATTTACAAAACATCCTTATCTTGCGGTGGATCACTTTCATATCTCCCACGTAACATCGTATGTACCAACAGTGGAGTCTTCAGAAGACAATGGACAGATGTAACCACAGGTCCCCACGCTACTTGTTGTTGCCGTAGTCATGCGCTGTCAGACAATAGTTTGTTGTGCGTTGAGCAATTGGCCGGACGTCCGCTAGTTGCGCTTATGTCTCATCTTTTGGTGGCACACAGTGGAATCAGTGATTCTACACTTAAATATTCTTTTAAAAACACAATTAAAATTCTACGATCATATATTCTATGAAATATGATAATATTTTGTCATTCTAAACTTCCAATGATTTATTGTTTTGTAGTTTGTAAAATCGTTGGCGTAGCACGAGCAATTGTTTTACCACAGCATTTTTTTCTATCACACATGACTCAATGTAATTAATCCTCATAAAAGCCTTATTAGGCTTTTATGCATCAGTCTCCAGGATACACTATCGTTGCCAGATTTTTCGTAATAAATCTCATTGAATAAAATGTCAGGACTGAAATTGAGACCTTTGCTGTTTATTTTGTTTATTTATGATCTAAAAGAGCTTTTATAATTAACGGAACGTTTCCTCTATATGCTGATGATCTCGAACTATTCCCAATAATTAACAATCCACAAGATTGTGCTATCTTACAGTATGACCTCGATCTTGTTTCTTTGCAGCCATGGCAATTTAAATTACACGTGGATTGATTTTTTGTTGTAACGTATTCAAAGGAAACCCCAAGTAACCTCAGCATGAAATGTTACAAAAGTAGTGGCTATTTCTTTCGACGAAAACTTCAGTCAAAGATTTGGGTGTAACATTTGATTCTATATTTACATCAATTACATTGATGTAATTTCCATTTTTAAGACTGCCTTCTCAATTGTTAACTTAATTCCCAAGCTAGGAAAACTGTTTGCAAAATCAATCGGAGTTCCCATTGTAATGAATTGTCTACTTGCAGTAACTGTTGGTTCACATAAATGGAATGTCTATGTTTTTAAAGTCAATAATATATATTTGTTTCTCATAAATGGAATGCTTATTTGCTGTATCCAAAATCAATGGTACGTCTGGTTCACTTAAGGGAATTGTCTGCTCACAGTATCCAAACTCGATAGTGCATTTGGTTCACACAAATTGAATGTATATTTGGAGTATCTAAAGTCAATGGTGCATTAGCTTAATTCCAGCAACCATAATTGGTTATTCATTTTGTAGTAATGCTCAATGAAAAAATCCGGTTGTTCTTTCCTATTGTTCTATAACTGTAATGTGCAACTAACCAAAAGAGAACTACCAAGTTACATCGTGTCCGTCACCGCGGTAGTTATGGCCGGCCGCGCATTCATTTTTGTAGTTTGTGTCCGTGTTCGTGTTTATATGTTAAATGTACAGTACCATGTGTAATGGCGATGACAAGATGTTTTGAAACCTTGATGTTTTGAAACTAGTCGCCATAGATTAATTTTAGGATTGACGACGTAAGTTATGTTAACCTATTTGCATGCTCAAAACCATAAGGCAATATAATACGTTTGTCCCATACTCAGAGCTGCTCACACTGTTCGAAATTTGATTAGTTGAGTAGGCCTACTAGATAGAGGTAGGGTGTCTTCTGCTTCGGATCAGAGGCGGTTGGTGTGAGGTAAGCTCGACGACACAGCGCTGCTGTCTGTCCTGTGTGCGGTTCACGTTGCCCTGGCATACAGCAAGCTCGCTTTTGCTCGTCTCAATCTAGGGATGTTTCACCACTCGCCGCTATGGTCAATTTTTAATTGTGTCATATATAAAATTTTACCTGCACAGTGTTTTCCGGAGATCGGTTTTGAAATATTTAAATATCCCTTAATAATAATGAATAGTAAATTACTTTGTTCAGACTTAGTTGTTCTCGTGTATTTATTTTATTTACTCTCGTTCTTTTGTATAGTTAAATAATTGATATTGTTTATTTTGAAGATATTCGATTGTATTTATTCTTATTTTTTCGTTTATTGTTTTATGTTTTATCGTCGTGAGTGTAAATACTATATTCAGCAAGATTGAATTTACTTTATCCACCATAGCCATAATGTTCTATCACTGAGCCTAAACAATAAAAATAAGCTAAGTTCTCATTGTATATCACAGCTTTTTGTTGCTAGTTGGTTCGTTGTCACGTTGTGGTATATAGTCAACAGTTGTCATAAATGCCAAAAAGAATTTTGTGCTGCAGCCTATTGATAAATGTTATAACTTTTAATGCCTTAAACACACAAACTTTCACATTTATAATATTACTAAGATAAGATTATTATGTAGCGTACTAAATGCTACTTTGTAATTAGGTGTAAGCCTGTTTTGCATTGTAATTAAATAAGTAAATTTATAAATTAGTAGTAAAGATGAGGATCTTTTATTTTAAACGTTCACCGCATTTTACTAAGAAACAATATGAACCCCGGCAGATGAACAGTAAAAATAAACATTCGTAAAACGTAACTGGAGGATTTTAATTAAATCTTGTTTGACAAAAGCGATGTCTTAAGTTTTATGCAGGTCTTCTTTGTCGGTGATTTCTTACAGATTCGCATCGCAACCTAGTATTTTAGTCTTTTAATCTTGATAATGAGATGGAAATATTTTCAAACTTGTGTTCCAAACAGTCTTAACTCGAACTTCCATGATCAATTTATGCAAATTGAAATTCCTTATTTACATTTCTGTTTGGTATTACAATTTTATTAAAGATCAATTACAAAAAGAAAGGATATTAATGAATTTACTTACTCTCTTAGTATCATCATATTTCCATATTTGGCTGCCACCATTTCTAATTATAATATGCCTCCAATGCCACCAAACTACACTTTCACATGTCACATAATTGTAAGGCTACGTAAATGAAAAATATACATGTACGGTAGTCAATTGTAAACATCGATTTTACATTTATAATAAAATATTTGAAATATACAATTTCAGTAATAATTTATGTACCAATCGTTAAACATATGCTAATAATTTCGGAACGTATCATTTTTTAGTGTCTAAATGGTGATAAACTGGTATTACTTAAATATATACACCCTACTAACGTCAAGCTAAAAAGATTACCCTCAGGTTTCGATTGTCTCTATAAAAATTTAAATACTTTTTCGTCATACTCCAAACGGCTAATTTTTTCTGCAGTATGACGAAAATTATAGTTCACCACACGGGCAAAAAGTGACTTTTTAACCCGAGGTCAAGTTTTACTCAACTTGACCTCGGGTCAAAAAGAATCACTTTAGGCCCTAGTGATGAAATATACTATTTCGTCATACCGCAGCAAAAATGACCATTTTTAATGCACGTGTTGTGGGTCTAAAGTAGCAATTTCACTCTCTAGAGAGTAAAAATCATTTTTAGTCTCTGGGGAGTAAAAATCAGCTGTTGTAAACAGTTGTAAATTTCAATTGTGGCAATCGTATCGCTCGAAATTATTTATCGATCGATTTACTAGGTAAGGTTTTAACATATTGTTGTCGATTACTGACATATCGATGGTATAATGTACTGTAACACAATCGTAATAGACGGAATTATTGAATCACTTACTAAACAGCTGCTTAGTTGCATTAGCAGAATTGAAAACAAGCTGGAAGTCGTTCTGAGGGGTTATCTTAACATAACAATTATTTCTTTTTCTAGCCTTGTTTGTTAATTAAATAACGATGCAATATGGCGAGAAATATAGTTCACCACACGGCAAAATTGACTTTTTAACCCTCGCTCATTTTCCAACCTCGACTCTACCTCGATCCTAAAACTTGTTCTAGGGCAAAAAAGAGTCACTTTAGGCCTCTAGTTATAAATACCCCCGCCGCAGAAAACCTGCCGACTAAGCGAATTTCCATTTGTCTGAATTGATTTTCAGTTAAATATATTTTAATAACATTAGGTTTAACGAGTACCTAGGTTTGCTGCTACAAGGAAACTAATAAAGTGTGTTTTTGAGTAAAATATTGATAGCTTAGTACAAAATAAATAAATTTGCCAAGTTTGATCAAAATATATCCATAAACAAGCAAACTACAACATTTGACAATATTCTCCATAAGAATAACATGGGAATTTAAAATTTTTTTTTAAATTTTCTCCGTTACTCATAATCGAACAAAAATTCTTTTATATACTAAATTATTTGTTTTTTTAAGCTCTTAAAAAAGGTTTAAAGAGAAATCGGGAAATTTTGTGTTTTGAGGGTCAAAAGTGAGAAAAACCAATTTTTACCCCATAAAACCCCCCGTAAAGCCCCGTTCCCATGGTCCGATCGTGCTGGTTCGCGAACTCATTCAAGTTTATCCCGCTTTACACCTTTAAGCCAAATTTCATCAAAATCGGACAAAAATTACTCAAGTTATCGCGTTCACGGACGTATATATATATATATATATATAAGTCTATATATATATATACATATATAAAAAATTAAACGAATGGTGTTTTTGGCCTCTGGGGACATCAAAATAAAAAGTAAATCGGTCCCGGGTCTAGGTCTTACCGTGCCACCTACGGTAATAGCTACTTCCCTATAGGGAAATTCGCTAAAAATACTATTTCCATTGTTAACGTGTATTATTCAGGTTTAACATGTTTTGAAAGGATAACATATCAACGTACTCATCCAAATATTTCGTAAAGTACTAATTTATATTCTGTGACTTGATTGATTTGTAAAATTGTCTAAGACACCTTCATTGTTTGTAGTGTGTATACTACCTTCTACGTTAACATCGTGATTCTCATTACCTTTGAAACTAGTACCTACCCTTTACTGTAAATGTGTATTTTTAATGAGACGAATTAGTTTTGCAGTAAAGACTAAACTGGCTCTCTTCCTACAAACAGTGGAGTGGAATAGTGTGGAGTGTTTCTATGTTAATTATTATTGTACCATGCGTGCTCTGTTGTTTGATCCATTTGCATTATTGCAGAGAATGGAGAGTACATGTCGTTCGGAGTGTCGGGCCACGAGAGGAAGAACCAGATGATAGGAGCCGACGTGGTGGTAGCCTGGGTGGACCACGCCACGCTCAACGGTTACGCCGTGGACTACTTCTTGGATGACAAGAGTCAGTGTTCCGGTACCCGGGGAAGCTGCCCAGACTACAGGATTGAGCCGGTGAGACACTAGATATAAAACATGCTGTTTTGGAGGGTAAAGTACGTGAAATCATTTTTAAATCGCCCTAGTGTAATGAGCAGTAAATATTAGTCATAAAAATATAAAATAGGTAATTCAGAACCGGAAACTCCCATAGCAACATATCAAACACCGGGTTGTGTGATAATAATACTATCAATTTAAATGTCTCTGTGATACCTTTTTATGAAGGGAAGCTAAAATGAAAACATTAAGTCCATTCACAATATTTATGCAAATATGTATATGTTTATTACAAAAACACTTTATTATCCTCAAACATAGGTTCACTCATTAAACCTAATTTTATTTAAATGGATTTTTGTAAAAATCAAATTAGTGAAATTAAAATTTGCTTAGTCTGCAGGTTTGTTGCTACGGGGGTGTTTTAAGTTTATTTAAAAAAAAGTGTAACAATAATAAGCTAAAAATATTTCATTCCAAGTAAGTCCTCATAACATAATTTGAGACCTGAAGGTATCTACAGCTATTTCTGCCAAACATGAACACAATCTATGTATGCAGCGTATAGTTTTTAACTTATTTGTATTAAAGCTTATAGACTAGGCTATTAGTAACATTGACTTTAATTAAAAAACAATTCAGGTTCCACCATATCAAACATTGCAATGTTGTAATTTGGAGACAAAAAAAGTGTTAATAATTGAATAAGTTTTATAATAGGCCTAAAGTCAATATTACAAACTTTAGCTTATGTGCATGGATATTATTAGTGGTGGCACAATAAAAGGTATAATATGTTTCAATTTGTTTAACTAACCTTTACAATTACTTAATTATCAAGCCATGTGAATAATTAGAACCATAAAAAGTCCTGTCAAAGAGAACGTATTGTTTGCTTAGTTTCACAAAGCGAGCATAGAGCTGACAAAGACATTTGAGCATTACACACAACCACCAGTGAGTTTGGCATTTCGGAGTCGAAGCGGTTTAAGAGCGTTACGGAAATGAAAGAAGATAAAAGCATTCCAACGCTCACATAGGATAAGAGAATAGCTGTAGGGAACAGGATTGCTTCTCGTCAATGATTCAATAAAGATCAGGATCGTTGTTGGTTTATTGGCTGTTCCTTGTGACATTTCGAAAAACACTCCCTCTTTTGTGGAATTGAAACCATAATAAAAAAAGAATGAATTTGAACCATAAAACAAAGAACATTGAAAATTAAATAGATTAAAGTTTATTGTAAAATTAAAGGGACATTAAGCAAACAGTTTTGAGTATTAACACCAACGAAAATAAAATATATTGCATATATGTTCCTATAATGCATGGGATTTTGAAATCCTAATACAATATTATATACTACTTAAACTTAATATCCTTAATAATTGTATTCAATTGAACACAAAAAATTATAAGATATTGGCCTGATCATTCTAGCCACCATTGATTAAGTGGAATAACTTCCTGGAATAAGTTCCGGATTACAAAATAAATTATTACTCAAAATTAGTATTTTTTTTGTAATTGTTAACCAAGTTATTGAAAGAAGGTACCTATGTCCCATTCACTTAGTTAAAATAATTTGCATATTTTAATTATCTTGGTTTATTCATATAGTGTATTTAATTTTACTTTATTTAGATATATTTAAAATTTTTTGCATTTTTCATTGCGTTTTCGTAACGAACAGTTTAAACTCCGGTATTGTTACTATCTTACATGAACCTATTGCTATAACACAACTCTGCTCGGAAACGATTCTTTAAGTGCGTGAACAGGTATCCTTTAACTTCTTCATAATACTTAGAAAAACTGTGAATTCTTTCGCTTAATATATACTATACTCAATCATTTACTTAACTGTTTATTATTAATGTCTAGGACAACACCAGCAGTGTTCGACTGCTGAATGCTGCCCTTGTTAACGGCTACTCCATAGTCACCTACCAGAGGCCACTGAGGGCTCACGACTCTCTAGACAGACCCATCCTCACCAACACCAGCCAAGCTGTCATCTGGGGAGTCGGCCCTCTCAACCAGAAACAGGAAGTCTCTTTCCACTCTGTGTGGTCTAAAGGTGAGATACTTGGTAATGTCGTTAGGTTCGAAAAGACAAAGGCTGAATTCTAAACAAGTTTAAAAATCCAACTTGATACACAAGGAAGCTGAAATCCAGTAAGGATTTAATTACAAATGATTTTCAACAATAAAACAATATAAAACTTCCGCCACCTTACCCAAAGCCAATTGCAAATAGAAAGTTTTACATAAATGATTAAAAAACGGATGTTTGACAATAATGAAATGCATTGTGTTAAATGGTAGTAAGCTTATGATTTCTAAGTTCCCTAAAAAAATCTCGTCAAAAACGTCAAAATTAATATTAAAAATTTAATTACGATGGATTTAACATACTTTTTACTTGTAAAAAAATGATTAAATGGTTTTATGGCCTCTGTCAGTAAAGTAATTACTTTATTATGAACGTGCTTGCAAATGTCCCTTCCACTATTACGAGGTACCTTAATATATTTGATCATAAAAAAATATCTTATTTAGTATAGTTTTGGAACAGAATATTAGGCATTTTGTTTTTCAATCATGACTGCCATTGTAATATATTCTCTAAAATAATCTAAATGTAGTAACCTGTTTATTTATCCAATAACTTATTATAATAAATAAAAATCGCAACAACAAATTATCAAAATTATAAAATAAATTTTACACATGTAACGATTCTTGCCATCCAACTAATAATAAATTGTTACACACAGGTAGCTAAGGAAAGAAAAAAAACATTTAAAGATAACCCGATGAGATTTGACCCGAAGTCAAAGTCAGGTTAAATGTGAGGACATATAAAAAATATAAATTTTCACTTCTCGTGAAGCATAGAAGATAGATTACTCCTCTTAGACTCATGGCTTCTGGAATATTACTGAGGTGTAACTTTGCTATTATAACAACCCACAAAATACCATCGTTGAAAAAAAGTCTACCATTTCAGAAAAGTAAAACTATTTCAACTAACCTACAAAATACTGTATTCATTTAATTCAATGCAGATGCAGCAATTTCCGTAATTTATAAATTTTTATCCAATGAAACCATTTAAAAGTGAATAAAACGGAAAACTAATTTAAAAGCAATTATCTACTCGTAACAATAACTCAATAATTCGTATAACTTAATCCCTAATCCCATACTTTGGAGTATTATGGATAAATACGTATCTCTATTCAAAAATAATGAAAGCCACTGGCGGTTACAGACGAATTGAACAAATAAAGAGAATTTAATCATAAATATCATTTCAATAATACTCATGAAAGCGTATTCAATATTGGTTCGTTTATTTATATTGAAATAGAGAATTCATTTCTGAATGTTGTAACTCAACCATTTCAAATAAATTTATCGATGGTTTTTATCATAGTAAGCTGGTTGAAATGTAGTAATCTCAATATTAAATCAGCATCGTTTATTAGGCATGCATAGTCAATATGTAACAAGATATAACAACTCGTACAATAAGTTAGTGACTTTCAACAATATAACCTGATTACTTAGCGAGAAAAAGATAGTTTCTCACACATTGTATTTTTGAGGTTTATTATTTAATCCCAGACTCGTGAATAGTTAACGCCACTATAAGAGAAATAGCATATCATAAAAAACACACACAAAAACATACACACACACAGTGTACAGCAAAGCTCTTAAAACCAATGTTTGGGTGTTCACAACAGACTTTAAACCATTGTCCTTTTTCAACCCATTCAGATTCCCCTTATCACGTTAATCTGCAAATAGCCTGTTATCCGGATGCTAAAAAGAATGGCAAAACAGGAAAAAGTCAACCCGTATAATTGTGATAATCTGAAAATTACAGACCAAAACTATGAACATTTTGGATCGTTCTAGAAAACATTTTGCTGGACTTTGGGCGGACTCCGCAATGGAATTGTCCCATTCCCGAGTCGGATGCTGCCCTGGCTGCCTCTACCCATGAACAGCCTGAGGACGTCCACGGGGCGTCGTCCACTGCCCATGGCCAGGACAACACCCACGGACAGGTAACTGGAGCTTAGGCATTAACTGTACTGCACCTACTGTTGTTTTGGTCAGAGTCGAATTATATTACAAATTATAGTACCAACCACGTGTAATTCGGTCCAGTAGAATGGCCAGGCTAGCTGTCGTAGGTTTTGCAAAAGTGTTTTTAGTATATAAGATATAACAAAACTCTTTTGAATAATAAACAACGTTTCATTAGTACCAATAAACACTTGTTTTACTTTTATTTTCCTAATTAACCACAACATTTTTTCCAATGAATGAAAGTGTAAGAAAACCAAGACGTCATAAATTGTTTAGCAAATATGCTTTGCATTAGGATTCAAAGAATGATGTAGACAGCAAAAAGATTATTTGTTGTAATAATGCAGAAAATCCTTTGGAATAACTGAAAAAAAACAGATTTATTAAAACAAGTGTACTCTAAAATAAAAAAAATATAAACAAGTTTAAACAATTATTATAATATCATATTATTTCAATATCTTTAATAAATTAATGGTTATAACATTTCGATAACAGAGTAAAATAGGATGAAACTGATTATGGTTATATAAATAATAAAGAGTTCTGACAATAACGAACACGTCACTTAACGGTAGGTCGGTTTTGTGATATAGCCTTATAACAATTTTTTTTGTAACATTCTCTCTTGTCCTGGTCAAAAAACCACGGTTAATTTATATAACATATATTTATATCATTTGTTAAATTCGCATCTTTAATTAATAATTTTCTCGAAAAATCTAATATACTGTATATATACATATTGATTACAATTAATCTCGTGAAATTATTGACTAGAACAAAGAAGATAGCTCTAAGAAAAGAACACTAATACGTTAAAGTTGAAAAGCCCTCTTAATGCATCACAGTTTGAAACAGCTTTTAAAGCATTACTGATCGTTTTGAGGAGCACTCCCATCCACCAGCTTAACTCTTTTTCCAATTTGAAATATAAGGAGCGCCTGCCTTAGAGTCTTTGCATAATAATAGCATTCTATTCTAATCAACAGTGTCAGAGTGAATAATGTATTTTAAAAGAATTAAATTAGACGAAACTTAGTTTTTACTATTTTACCTAATATATTTTTATGGACAACTAACCGTTTACCTACAAATCATTTGTAAAAATCGATTCATTGTTAATTTCATAAATACATTTAGACCAGTTTGTCACAAAATACAATTATGTACAACACTTAACTGATTAATATCTTACTTTCAGTTTATTTGTATTTTTGGTGGTATTTTCACTTGAATTGGTGAGATTTGTGAAGCCTCTGCTGTACTAGGAGTTGGAAAAGATTCTTTTTTATTCATGATGGTCTAATTGAATTAATGACAATAATAAGGAGTCACCAAATAAGGCTTGTGCCTTATATAAATGTACTAAAACAAAATAAAGTAATTAAAAGAAGCGATTATAAATCATTGAAACACTTTTGTATTCAGAAAGAACTAGCCTAAAATAAAATTAAATATCACATAAACAAGAGGTCAGCTTATCATATGATAATTCCTACATTTAAAGTACAGTTGAGACAGTAAGTCGTAGATTCATATTAGTGGGTAAACTATACAGGGTGATCAACTCAAGGAGGCCACCATTGGGATATCGAAAACGGTAAGAATTAGAGAAAACTTTAAATGGGGGACATTCCTTTATTTTTTGTGGCAGTAAAAAATATGATTTTATTTTTTTTTAATTCAGCCGCCATTTTCCAAAATGGTGGCAAACTTGAAAAGTGGAAAACTGTGTATTTTATGGTCTTTATTTTGACTTATTTACTCATCGCATTTTCGCTATGAACCTACTTGTTTAGGAGCTACATGATGTAAAATGTACACCGGAAGTCATTTTTCCATAGGCTGTAACTCCTAAACGAGTGGGTTTATCGAAAAAATGTCAAGAATAAAAAAGTTTTTAAACTGCCTGTTCTATCCGAAAACATGATAAAATATAGGGTGTACCATGAGAAATTTCAAAGTTGGCCGCCATTTTGGAAAATGGCGGCTGAATTTCAAAAAAATAAAATCATATTTTTTACTGCCACAAAAAATAAAGGAATGCCCCCCATTTAAAGTTTTCTCTAATTCTTACCGTTTTCGATATCCCAATGGTGGCCTCCTTGAGTTGATCACCCTGTATAGCCACAGTAACACATTTCACGCTGGCGCTTGTCACTCAAAGTAGTAGATCATTTACATTGTTAAGGTAGACGCACTGTGGAGGGGGAGGAAGCTATGTTGACAGCCCAACAACATTAGTTCTAGTCCGTTGCAATATGCAAGACTGGGCAGCTGGCCTAAAACTATGCTTTTTTTCTCACCTCACTACGATGTTTTTAGCCGTTTTACAAACGCTCATTGGAGGCCGAGAGTTACGTATTGCTGCCCATGCTAGATGACATTGTTATTTGGGGACCGAACAGGTTTTTACATCCCTAGGGACCAAAATCAGCAGTTCGCTTTCTTACATGACACATTAATGCACATTAAATACACAATCAGTATCCATAGCATTGAAATGTACTTGTTTTATTCTCACCGCTGCCTAGCAACTATTTATTGCTATTTTTGCTGATTCCTCAAATTACTTCTTCACATAACCTTAAAGCTGTAGGCGTGTTGACAGTTAAGTGTTCATTATTATTATTGTGGTGATTAGTGGTAATAGGGTATAGTGTGCTGAAAAATAGCGATGGTACCACGGACCGATATGGTTGTGCAGCTCTCGATCGTTTTAAGCTCTCAACTTCGTGTCAAGTTTAAACACTATCTTGAGCCGGCAAAACCTCATTTTTGGCTCTAGGAACGAAATATACTATTAGAATGAAAACGAATATTTGGATTAATGACAGTGACCAAAGACTGTCCAATAGTATACCAATGATTTCTCCCCGAGTAAAGCTTGGTCCCCAGGTACTGAAAAATAAAATATATGTGTTGAAAATTAATTTTGATTTAAAATTTAGAACATCGTTGAGAAAATTGCTCCATTTTTCTAAAGAGAAGTAGCACTGCTGTTACCATGGTTAGTTAAAGTTAATAGGCTTTGGTCCAACAATGCATTTTCGTTTTGGAATACTTAGAGCCTAAAAATACTGTTAAAACTACAATCTTGTGCATGATATTAATAAGTATTCACTTACAATTTAAAACATTGTCTTTTAAAAAAAATTATTGGCACAATTTATTTTGTAAATTTCGTGAACCACTCTGTTTTTCCTCTTTTAACTTAAGTTTCCTGTGAGGGGCTTTTAAACCAAAATATTTGTTTCGTGGCTATCCATGCAAATTAAATAATTTAAGACAGTATTTAGGATTTTTCAACCAATGTTTAATATAGGCTGGAGATGTTTTTTCTTGGCATGGTTACTAAAGTGGCTGAGAGACGGCCTAAACCGTCATTGTCAATGTAGCATTTTATATAATGCAAAATCAAATTTTTACATTTTCTTGGCCATAATTAAAAAACTATGTTTTATTGGAAAAAATATAAAAAAATGTTATATTTGTGAACAGTAGCCCATTTAACTAATTAAACGCAATAAAACATCAACTGCCGCCAGACGCGGCAGCTCCGTTTTCGCACATCCCGGAATGACCTTGACCTACATATTTGACCTTTGTAGTTGAGCAAGCAGGTGAAGGGGCTACATTACCATTAGCCATTACAAAACCGCATCCCAGAGTCAACGGCCTAGTGATGGGAGGTAATGGTTCAGTCCTTTCCAAACGGTCCTCAACTACCTGGCATCTATGACGTTTCGTTTTACAAATCGACCTACCTTATTTCAACCGCGATTGCGGCTTCGATTTTCATCACTAGGATTCCCTTTGCGGTTGTTGATGTAAAGGTAATTTATTTTGTTGCGTATGTTGAAGTAGGTCGTGTCTTCAAAGTGTGTATTTTAGTTCAGTAAATCCCTTTAATCAAGAACAACTTTAACTCAGTATTTCGTTGAAACTTATATACTGAGACTGAATACTCTATAATAATGAATGGATTGAGAAACACAATTCCATGTACTTCTATAGAATAATAATTTTAGTATATGCTTATTTATAGGGAAAAACTGATTTACACCTCCAATGTGACCTTAAATAAGAATTTTGAACAATGCAATTAAACGTGACGTACTGTAGAGCACAAGTATAGCCAAGCAAAATATGTTTGAAAAACTTACAAATAAACGATATAAATAAAACTGTTATACTTTGTACCACAGCTTATTATGTTTACGATATTTAAATATTAGTCAGAGGGTATAAAAAATAAAATCGTGGATGAAACTAATTAAATACAGTAGGTTACACATATTACCAATGTGTTACCAATGTAACTTCAATAAACGGTAATATTATACGTTGCACCAATACTAAAACAATAAATAAAATTCAATTTGCCTCTTTGCAATATGATAATATGATTTAATAAAAAAAAAAAATAATCACAACGTCATGTTTTAGAGTAATAAAATGTAATGTGATGTAAACTAATATAATAATTCAATACTTCATCCAAAGCAATTTCAAATTATTATGAAAAGACAACCGTTTTCCTGTCATTTAAGATGATTTAAAATTCAAACGAGCCAGATGCACGGCGCAGCTACAATTTCCTGACAGGAAATGGATTACGTTCTCGCCTGCAGGGATGTGATGCAATTTAGACAGTCTCGGCGTTGAGTCCGCTTGGAGGAGTAGTGCAGCTCAACGCATTAAAATTGATGCAAGGATCGACTTTATGTTTTAATCAGATAACTAATATGTTTTTGAACTAGTTATAAATCATTTAAAATTACGTTTTTAGGTGTATAGCCCTGGATCACAAAGGTTAGAAACTAAAACATATTGCAGCTGGTGTTGTGCCCAATTCACTGACATCATTATCAAAGGCCTGAAGTATTTCTACGATCTACAACCGAAAATTGTTTATTATCGTAGGTATTCAGGCATATTACGTGCGTTTATATAAGTGAAATGAATATTTAATTCTTAGGTAGATTTAAACCATAATATATGAGATATTCATATAAGATGTCTTCCCAATTTATTGAAATAACATTAGGTCTAACGATCATTTAGGTTTGCTTCTACAGGGTAGGAACGAGTTTTTTGTGAAATGTAAAAAACTAGTATCAAGTTAAAAAAATTGCCAAATAAAAAAATATATCATTATACAAACAAACCACAATAGTTTACTTCTTATACATAAGAATAACATTAGATTTTTAAATGTAATGTTTTTGGAAATTTTTTTTATTCCAAAATTGTATAGCAACGCTTAAATATACAAGAGTTTTCAAAGAATTATAACATTTGCCCTTTGCATGTCGGCTGGGGTGTCAGCTACTACATCAATAGACTCCTGATCTCCAAGATCAATTTCGTCCGTGGTAATTCGACGATGGCTAAAGCTATAATTTAATTTGGAAATTTTATGTTGTAAGGGTAAACATTTGAGACGAACTAAATGAGACAAACCATAAAATAGCTTCTATGAGAGGTTCACGAGCTCATTCAACTTATGAAATGAAATGAAAAATCCTTTATTTTTTCAGGCAAAGTTAGGGCCACATGGCCCTTTCTTACACTTAACCTGAACTTATGGTGAACACTTATGGTGGAACTTATGTTGCCATCCATGAAAAATTACATCAAAATCAAGCCAATGAAACTGGAGGTATCGCGTTCAAGGACACACACACACATATAAAAATCAACAACCAACTAATCAGCTCCTATAGCAATGTAATAGCTGTCTGTGTACTTGTAATAAAATATATTCAAGGAAATTTTATTTGGAAGATTGTAAGTTAATTCCCTTCAACATATAATTTCCCAGAGTAAAACAATAAAAAAAGTAGACTAGTATATAATGCAGCAAAAAATTCAACAGCAGGTACTTCTTTGACATTGATGTAGGTGGATTGAAAGCCTAGTTATATATAAAGCCAATTATCCAAACACAAGATAATATTTGGAAAAAAGTGTATTCAACTGAGGAAATTGGTAGAAAGATCAACAGTTTGACACCATATCGTTAGTTTTGCACGGATGGACAGATGTATAGTTTATTTGAAGTTCAATTAGTTTAAATCACACCTTCCTGCTCTACAGGTTGTCGGAGACTTGCACCAGACACCACCTCCCCCCGCGGCAGCCGTCAGACAGTCCGATGCTTGGGAGATTCCACCCATCCAGTGTAACGAACCAGACGACGGAGTCTTCTACGCCCAGATGGGACCTACGGGAGGAAAGCGAGGCTACCCGTCAATCACCAGTAAGTCTTTTCATTAGGTTAATAATTGTAAGTTTCCTGTAGTTTAAAACAAGATATATAAACTAAAAAAAGTTTATGTGCTTGTACTTTTGATAGTGTAAAAGTTTCCTATCACTGGCCCTTACTAATGAGGAAAGTCTAAAATAAATGTTTAAATATCACTTTTGGATTCATCAGTTGGGAAAAATAGTCATAAGCTGTTGAGAACCTAGACAGCAGCCAAGCACTATTGGTATTAAGTATTAAGTCAAAATAAGTGTTTTTATACTTTTAACACACCTTAAATACTACAGCATTCCAACAATAACTTATGGAAATCAATTTTTCATTTACTGTCTATGCAAATAATTCCATACTTATCGTAACTAAACTATGTAATAGTTTGGCTTTAGGTAATTAAACGTCCTGTCACTTAAGGGTTTTTAGCTCAAATGTATAAAATGTAGATTTTGGTATATAACTATTTTTAATCCCACTTAGAAATAAGTGTCACGATTCATTAGAAACACTATACTGTTTCATCTATGTTTAATGCAGCTAAAATAAAACTAGTTGAAAATGAGTACAATTACAGCACTAGGATAACTGAACTAAAACCAAATACTGAAAGGACAGTTGATTTTACCATCAATTATAAACAAAGTACACTATCTTATCCATTCCAAGGAGTATAAACAGTAATTGATAAGCTATATTGATCACTTTTCATTTGCATGTGAGTTAATATAATTCAAATCTAAAATGTTATTATGAACTATTCGAACACCTCCAACTTACGACATTAAAATACTCTAAGAGGACGACCTGTAGCTTTCCAGAGTGATAAATTTGGTCTCTTTTAGGTAATTTTGAGTTGGTCAAATTGGCAATAGAAATAAAAAACTCAAATACTAAAATTTGCATGTACATTTACGTCAATTAAATTTTTATAAATTGATTTGATTTAGTAGCACAGCTGACCAAAATGATTCTATAAAGCCTAGTGGTTTGGTTAAGTGCTGTTTCTAGTTTCAATTGGAGGGGTACACTAAATTATATTCATTTTAACTATTCTCTTTTCATTTTCTATCGAACGGGTAAAGTAACTACTGGTAACATTTGCCCTTAGATAATTTCGGTTGGATTATTATTTACTACATCAACCTGCTAATCCCCAGATGATCAGGCTGCTAGAAAGCTGATCCCCGAGATCAACTTTGTCCGTGGTAAAATAACTGGTAACATTTGCCCTTAGAGCATGTCGGTTGGGGTATCAGCTACTACATCAACGGATTGCTGATCCCCGAGATCAACGTGGTCCGTGGTAAAATAACTGGTAACATTTGCCCTTAGAGCATGTCGGTTGGGGTATCAGCTACTACATCAACGGGCTGCTGATCCCCGAGATCAACGTGGTCCGTGGTAAAATAACTGGTAACAATTGCCCTTAGAGCAAGTCGGTTGGGGTATCAGCTACTACATCAACGGGCTGCTGATCCCCGAGATCAACTTTGTCCGTGGTAAAATAACTGGTAACATTTGCCATTAGAGCATGTCGGCTGGGGTATCAGCTACTACATCAAAGGGCTGCTGATCCCCGAGATCAACTTTGTCCGTGGTAAAATAACTGGTAACATTTGCCCTTAGAGCATGTCGGTTGGGATATCAGCTACTACATCAACGGGCTGCTGATCCCCGAGATCAACGTGGTCCGTGGTAAAATAACTGGTAACAATTGCCCTTAGAGCAAGTCGGTTGGGGTATCAGCTACTACATCAACGGGCTGCTGATCCCCGAGATCAACTTTGTCCGTGGTAAAATAACTGGTAACATTTGCCATTAGAGCATGTCGGCTGGGGTATCAGCTACTACATCAAAGGGCTGCTGATCCCCGAGATCAACTTTGTCCGTGGTAAAATAACTGGTAACATTTGCCCTTAGAGCATGTCGGTTGGGATATCAGCTACTACATCAACGGGCTGCTGATCCCCGAGATCAACGTGGTCCGTGGTAAAATAACTGGTAACAATTGCCCTTAGAGCAAGTCGGTTGGGGTATCAGCTACTACATCAACGGGCTGCTGATCCCCGAGATCAACTTTGTCCGTGGTAAAATAACTGGTAACATTTGCCATTAGAGCATGTCGGCTGGGGTATCAGCTACTACATCAAAGGGCTGCTGATCCCCGAGATCAACTTTGTCCGTGGTAAAATAACTGGTAACATTTGCCCTTCGAGCATGTCGGTTGGGGTATCAGCTACTACATCAACGGGCTGCTGATCCCCGAGATCAACGTGGTCCGTGGTAAAATAACTGGTAACATTTGCCCTTAGAGCATGTCGGTTGGGGTATCAGCTACTACATCAAAGGGCTGCTGATCCCCGAGATCAACTTTGTCCGTGGTAAAATAACTGGTAACATTTGCCCTTAGAGCATGTCGGCTGGGGTATCAGCTACTACATCAACGGGCTGCTGATCCCCGAGATCAACGTGGTCCGTGGTAAGACGTACACGTTCGTGGTGGAGGGAGGATTGGACCCCAGCATTCCCGCCAAATACCATCCCTTCTACATCACAGACGACCCCGTGGGAGGATATGCCAACAAGAGCCCCGAGGAGCAGAAGGTGAAAACTTGAAAGAACATTGATAATTGCAAAATTGTTTACCTAGTTCTGAAACACTTTCTAGTGTATACGTTTGGAATAAATATGAATAACTCTAATAACAGAATAAAACCTTTTTGCAATGTTTCTTATTCTTTTAAATGTGTTGGGAAGGGGAGAGGGAGTTAAAAAGGTTTACTACAAATAATAAGACTTGATCGATCGTATAAAATGTTTACAACCATACTAATTTGCAAACGAGTGTTAAAAAAACTTCAATGGGTAGGTTAAGTCCCTTACACATAGTGTCACATCTCTTAAAAACTTAAATAAATGAATTCGCAAAATGGCCCATTCGAACAGTTGACTATGGTGTTTTTGAGTATTTTGTATGATGGAAAAATACACATTGGCATTTAAGTCATTAAAGCGGTATAAATTAAATTCTGAAATAAGTTATTGTAATTTAGGTAGTTTCAGTTTCTATCAGCATATGTTAATCTCCATGGGCGGAAATCTGTCTAAGGATAATCAGACTTTTTTAAAGATTTTTTCTTCATTCAATCAATTTATATCATTAAATACAATTTGCTATAAGATAAAAAAAATAAAATATAAATAACATTATAATTATAAATAATTTTATATTATAATATATAAAAAAATGATTCCTGGAAGCGATATAATTACGTTTAAAAATGACATCATACGTAAGTACATATAGTTGGTTTTAAATAAAATGAACAGGAAATGTAATTAAGGTTATATTTGCATCTGTTGTAGTGTGAACAAATTGATTCTGTTAACCTTTGTTCATGCATGCATATAATCTTTCTAATTTACATGCGTGAGTAAAAGTATTGTTCATAAGAAACAATGAAATACAAATTTTAATTTAGCTAAGTTTGAACATATGAACAAACAGTTTTTATTCAGTTTGTAAATATGAATTTTTTCTAGAATCAAGAATCATGAATCTTTATTGCATTTGGTCCATGTAATACAGAAAATGGCATAGTCCATGAATTCCTGAGGGTAATGACTTAAGATTCTAACAATAATTACAATTACAAATGTAAATTTAACAGTAACGAAACATAGATGTGAACAATTATAATAACAGTCGATAACTTACAAAATTTTCAATTTTCAACACATAATTTAAAATTTTAAATGAAATTAAGGATTTTTATAACACAACTGTGTTTGCAGAAAGTTCGTATCTTCGCTGGAGTCGAGCAGACTCGTAGTGGAGTTTTAGTGCCAACTGGGGTAGGCCGCCTCTGTAACTGGACCCCAGATCCCGAGCAGCCACCTGCAGATGAGTTCGTCTCCTTCGGCGCCTACCAGAGGACTTTGACTCTCATATGTGACCACGGCGAGCCTGGTGTCATACAGTGGACCCCTGACGAAGACACTCCTGACACGGTTTTCTACCAGGTTAGATGCAAATATAGTCTTTTAAGTAAACGTAATCTATTTATTTTATCAGGGTAAAATTAATAGTAAAATAATACCGCCAAAGTGAACTAGTGTCTACTAGTTCTATACTAGTTTGGATTATTTTATTTTTAAAGGTAATAATAATATTATAATATTATTATATATTATTATATACATTATATAATTGTTATTTTTATTAAAATATAATTATATTATTATTAATATATTATATAATTTACAATTTTAATTCTAATATTTTTTAAGGAATTTGATTAGAGTTTTCTCTAAATCTTTCAATAAACAAGTGTTTTATTCACCACATAAATAGAATGAGTAGGTACTTAAATTTGCTGCAACGAAAAAGGGTAAAAAGTGTTTTGATAAAAGTTTAATGCTAATAGTAAGAGAAATATAAAGAACATTTTTAAATTGTATTTAAAATCTATTAACTAGCAAACTACGCCATAATTTTATTTTCTATTTTCTGCATGAGAATAATAACATAATATTAAATGTACAGTTTTTAGGATTTTATCTGCAACCTTAAATTGTACAATAATGCTTCGTTGTAAAAAACTGTTTTGCTCCATACAACTACTAGGCCTATATAAGAAGTTAGGCATTTTCATGATTTATAGTTAAACATTTTCTAAAACCCAATAAAAAATGACATGCAAGCATTCATTACACTCCGTTTCCATTAACTGATCTTTCTGGTTCGTCAACTCAATGAAGAGTATTATGCGAACAAAATACATATATAAATTTATACGAATAATGTTTTTGGCTTCTTTGGAACATCAAAATAAAAAAGTAATTCGGTCCTAGGTCTTTCCGTGCCACCTACGGCAATAGCTTTTCTTTTTAGAAACATTTGCTAAAAATAACACATACCTAGTGTTTTCAGTATATTTCATTAGTTAGTTTATTTACGTGTGTCCTTTCTTTTTCAGTGCTTTACTCATCGTCACTTGGGCTGGAAAATCAACGTTCACGATCGCTGCGACTTACCTGTGGTGTCTGCAAGTGAACCAGTAGAAACAAGAGTGAAATATGAACCGGATGAGGACGAACTCGAATCCCACCCAAGTCAAAGGGTAGCCACCAGAATCAAACCTGAAGGTCCAAACTACCTACCTCTTGTATCAAATGTTGGTTTGAAGAACCAGGATTTAATGGCTGAGTATAAGAAAAACTTTGCTCAAATTCCAGTTAACTTCCAGGTGTCCCCAGATCAAAAGTATGAGTTGCAGCACGGAATCCCAAGTAATCACAAATATCCTGCAAGTACAATGGATGTGTATATAAACAAGCAGATAGAGAGCTCAACTGAGGACGGCAGAGAGATGATTCCAGTTAGCGAAGATACCAGTCAAGACGTATCGACCGAGCGCAACAGACCGATCCTACCCCAAGGCCAAGATAAATACAACGTAAGTGAAACAAATCACCACCAACAGCAGGAATCATACAAACCTGCATTTAACAGAAATCCTCATCCACATGGTATGAGACCTGGGCCCCACCAGAGACGACCAGTTATGTCAACTATGACTATCATTAGACCTCATAGAAGGCCAGCACCTCACCATCATATGATGATGGTTGCGAAGCCTGTGATGCACCGTCCTTACACCCTGATGTCAGCTCCTTCTCAGTACCGCCCAGTTTATGTAAAGAAGCCGATCTATAGGATGCCAGCTGTTTCAATGCATCGTCCAGTGATGATGGTTCCTCAGTCTGTTCACGCAGAGACAGTGATGATGCCACCTCGTGCGCCTATAACTCAATCTCACTCTCCGGTCACAAAGACAGTATCAGTTTCATACTCATCATCTAAAGGAAAAGTAAAGCCTCAAATACCTATGCAAATGAAGAGTGAACCGAGTGAAAATAAGAAATACATTTTACCACAACATAAACCATACAAACCAGAAAATTCTGCTCCTCAGTACAAGATATCCCAATCAATTACTACGGGGGGATTCAACCCCGGATCATTAGTGATAGAAGGTGGTTTTAAGCCAATCATTCAGAACACACAAGAAGCTCAAGACAGGATATCAGAAACCGAGGAAACAGATGATACTGAAGGAACGATCGATCTTACAGCTGACGAAATACCTAAAGAAATAAATATAGACACAAAAGCTACTGAATATTTTGAGCCTATGTTTATCCCTTCTCCTCCCGATAGTATGCAGAAACACGCTAAGAAACCAACAGGTCTAGAGTATGACGTTTTAGACAAAAAGAAGGCATACACCAGTAGAAAACCTGTTAGACAAAACATGATTGTCATAAGGAGACGACCGATTAGTCCTTCATCTAGGTCACAGGAAGATAGTTTGGATGAAACTCCAATGGCAGCTGAGAGGATGGATACTTATTATCTTCCTCCGTCGGGTCCTATCTACGGAGTGTCCCAGTCCGGCCAAGTAGCGATTCCCGCCAATATTGACAGTGGAACTCCCACTCTGTTGACATATGATGGCAAACCTGTGTCAGGAAACAACGTTGTCCCCCCACCTCTTAACCATGGTACATTAAAACGGAAGTCTTCCTCAGCTGAACTTCTCAGGAGCACTCCCCAATTCGGTCCCTTTAGAGGTGATGTCCCTCCCCCTGTACCTGACAATATCCGCCCAGAAAACATCCCACAGTTAAAATTTAAATCTGATAAGAGACCAGCTCATGCCATGGCTCTAACGTTAAACCCTGCACCTTCAACTCCTCAAGGAAGAACACAGCTGTCTGTCATTAGGCCAGTTGAAGAAGAAGAGGATGCTGATGGACTGATTCCCGAGGCTTCGGAACTAGAAGAGTACAAATATGATGTATCAGAAGGAGACGATAGCTCAACTGGAAAAGATAACGTCATTATAGTTTTGGCTGAAACTTTAAAAAACGGAACGGCCATGACGCAAGACGACAGAGAAGTACATTCCACGAAGGAAACAAGTAAAGATGTAGGAGAAAAATCTCACGTTCAAAAAAGAGATAGAAGGTCTGCTCATAACGTTCCAGTAAGTGGAGACGACTCTGATGAGATGCACCACAATCATGATCATCATAAAATGATGGAGAACGGAACCCTGTCAAGAAACGATGGTCTCAGGATAACGACAAAACCCACCTTCGTAATTGTTAATTTGTTATTTTTTGTTTATTATATGTTATAAATAATGTTTCATGAAAACGATATTACTCATTGACTTTGGTAAATTACCTATGTCAATAAAATACTCATTTGTAACGTTGAGACTAGACAATATGTAGCTGAAACTATGTCATGTGACTGTATGATTGAAGTATTTTAAAATGTGTGAGTCAGTCCAACAGCTGATTGATTTTTACCGCTCGTAATTAAGTTGTATATAAATATATGTTTGTAAAAAGAATGTTAAATAAACATTCGAATTTTCTAGTATATTTTAGTCAACCATTCACCTTTCTTGAATTGCAATTGTAAATCTTAAATAATAAGTAGAAAAGTATTTCATATATTTTTAGTCTAAAAAAGTATTTACCAAATAATTACTAAAATTTTGACTCGAAATCAATTACAGATTTTAGTAAATTTTAAAAATTGTTATACACAAAAAAAACTGTAAATAAATAAAATGTTTCACTCTTTACAAAATAATATAAATAATATACAAAATAATATATAAACCTTGAAAAATTCTATCGTGCTAAACTAAAAAAAATAATTGGTAAAATATTAAAAGGCGCCAACATTATACCTCGTTTCAATAATGTAAGCAAATTAAATGGTTTAGATGCCGATTTACACACATCGGCCCTGTCTAAGTTCCGTCAGAGTCCAATCCCATAGACTGAGATTGCAACCGATACCAGTTCAGTCCCAGTTGCATCCGCATTTCCTCAGTCAACTGTACGTCAGTTGGTTTCAGTCAGTCTTCAGTCACTTTATTTACAGTGATGTTACAGTCAAGATTATTTTAATTATACTCAATATTCTAAAACTTGTTATTGTCCATTATGACAATTGTAATTTTTTTGTACTCTTGGAACTTTATTTGGTACATAATTATATGTACACATAATTATTTAGATAACAAAAACAATAATTTGTTACGTCAAACACAGTCAACACTTAGCCGTCAGGCGTCTGAACAATCCCAAAATATTAGTGGAAAAATCTGTGGACGTACGGAATGACTGCCGGACCTGCGTTGGAACTGCACCGGATGAGTGTAGATAGCGCAACGGACAGAAAAACGCGGAAAGAAAACTTAGTTTATTCCTATCTTTTTCATCATACTGTTCGGAAATCAACCGTTTTTCGTTCTCTTAATCATCCGCAAATTCCTCGTTTCCGGGTAGCTTCGAATAGGGGGTAACTTCTACTATTGAACATAAAAAACATATGGTAAATCTTTTGGTTCATCTTAACTCAAAGTTTGTTTTCAAACGCTGCTAATTACATGGTATTTTAAATTATGTTTCTAAACAGAAGAATGTAAACAATGATGACAACTTTGCATAGCCTAAATTTAATATTTGGTCCAATTTTAAATAAAATGTTATTTCGACAGTATGATGAAAATTGTTTTTAATGGTACGGATTGAAATTGTCTTTTTGGAACTTAATCGTATAGTGTGAACATAATATAAAAATGTAAAACGAAAGGGCTAATTTCGCTCTTAGTGATGAAAACCACTATTATATATACGCTATAACGTTGTTTGGCATATAAAACCTTTACGTTTAATTAAGGATAACTTATTAGGCTACATAGTACGAATAGTAAGAGGTGGTGATGCACGTTTATAGTAAATTAATACAATCAAATTTAAATTAAAACATTTAAAATTTAGCCTTATGTAAATGCATATTTAGTTGAAAGACTTACCTATATTTAAATTTTATATGTGAGAAGAATCGTACAACATAGGGTAATGTAGTAAACCAATAAACAGCCATTTTTAGTGTAAAAATTTCATGTCCCATGAAATATATACGTTTAACAAAACTCCGAAATTTCTGCCAAATCCTTTAACCTGCAGCCCAGTATTTAGTAAAACAAACTACTATTGTTGTGAATTAAGTCACAAATTTCATCAACATAAATGAGACATGAACAAACAATATTTGAACATACTCTTTCCTTTTACCAATCCAATAGTTGATTTCATTTACATTAGTTTACAAGCTAACAATTGATTAAAGAAACATATTTACAACGTATTCTTAATTGATTTTATAAGCAAATGTAAATAAATGCGCTCAACTTAGAGTTATAATAAAATCTATTCTTCTTTGCTTAACAAAGCAGTGGTATAGGGAAAACAACCACCCCTTTTCCTCTAAATATGAAAATGTTAGTAAAAAGGAAGTTCCTTGAAGTAAAAAGATATTTTACCAAAATCAGGGCACTCGATTGTAACTATGAAATCAAACTCAGTTAAATCAAAAGGCTTTAGATTAGCAAATTGTAGACTCTTAGTAATTTTAGAAACCAAAGCCAACGATAAAAGAAAAGGTAAGTCGTATCTACTTCTAAGAAGAAACATTGGTGATAGTAATTAAAAATTATAATGGCTAAATTGTATAACAACGCAATGCAAATGATAGTGTAAACTGCGATTCTCTTAACAAAATTTACATTTGTGGTATACTTATGAAAATTATTTATGTATTTTAGATCCTGATCAAAACACAAGTTGAGTTACAATTTGTAGGAAAAAATCTATCGCATTAAAACCATTTTGACATTTATACATTACAATTTTTAACGTCAAAATCTTTTTCCACACAAATATATAAATACAATTGTTTTATTAAATTCCATGTTGATGGCCCCTGGATTACTTTAATGACTATAATAATGGTACAATACCTCGTCAAGTAGTCCAAATGATGATTGAGGTTAGCAACCTACATGTTTCGCCGTAAATACGGCATCGTCAGGGTTACAAAAACGAAGACATCGATGTCACACGCACACAATAAATACACGAAAATAAACATTTAATTACGGAGAGTAAACATTTAATTAACATTGATAGGCCTATCACACGCACACGACACGGACGGTCCCGGCGCAGGTAGTAGACTGCCGATAGGCCTATCAATGTTAATTAAATGTTTACTCTCCGTAATTAAATGTTTATTTTCGTGTATTTATTGTGTGCGTGTGACATCGATGTCTTCGTTTTTGTAACCCTGACGATGCCGTATTTACGGCGAAACATGTAGGTGGCTAACCTCAATCATCATTTGGACTACTTGACGAGGTATTGTACCATTATTATAGACAATTGTTTTCATAATCTTAACACTTAAAAAAAATTAGAGTAGAGCCTACGTTGTTACAGCAATGGTTATTTAAAATCTTACCCAATTATTGCCATAATCAATGACAAATTTTTTAATTTTAATTCTTCCCAATTAGTTGTGCCAAATATTATAGTTAATTTGTTTAGATCAGCTGTTTGGGTTTGGTGAAATAAGTGCATTTGATTGATAGTTCTGTTTTTAACATCAAATGACAAGGCAAACTTTGTAAGTTTTCTTATCCTGCATTGGGGACCAATCAATATTCACTGGAATACTCACCTCATATCACAAGAGGAATCTAGGGATGTGAATATTCTTATGACATTCCTCGATATAAGGACCACTTTTGTGCTCAATTGGAGCTATACAATTCAAATGCTTTAGTCTTGATAACCGGACAGGCAAACAGACAGATGGATGGACAGTTACCAACCGAAAAAAATAGTATTTATAGAAAATATAGGGTCCTTTCTTGTATAAAATTTTCTTGTATTCAAATGCAAAAGAACATGAGTATCGTAACATAATTGCCTACTATGAGTTTCCTAAACAAGTTCTCTTTGAGTCATAATATTTCAAATGGAAGAGTATGCACATTGCACGCAACAAACATTTGCACAGTCAGTGATTGTTTGTTCAGTTGTTTGTGTCAGAGTTGGTTGTTGTGACAGGTGTTCAAATTGAGCTAATCCATATTCATCTTTTTTATTTAGTTTTGTTTCATTTTACTAATTTCGGTTAAAAATATGAACACACAATTATTTTGACTGCTTAATACGTGGTTTAAAAAAATGTATTGAGTGTTTAAAAGATAATTTTTATTTTTGTATTTTATGGCGATTTAACAAAATAATCAATTCTAGGTTAATATTTATATTGTTTGTGTATTCTTAGGTCTTCAATGCATCTTTTGAAATATAAATCAACATAATTCCAAAAAATATTTATAAAAAAGCTAAAAAAGTTAATACACCTAAGTTTGAGAATATTTCTTGTCCTTACTGTTTTACATGCTGCTGATAAATATATGATTCGAAGCAAAGTTTTACATAGTAATACATTGGGAATTCCCATTTCATAATGAGTTTCATTTATAACATTGGTAGATTCCTATTTAATGTTGTTATTTTAAACATTAGTATCAACATTTTAAATTGGAAATAGCGTGATCCTAAAAAACTACAGTATATATTTTACACGTTCATCATTCTATTCTTTGAAGGACTGGAAATTGTATTAAAAAAAAAAATAGACATTAAAAATATATTTTAACGTAAAATTAAATTACACAGCGAGACTACCATCTTATCCTCAATACAACCAACACCGGAATACCGTCATTTGGAAGCCGTTGTTAAAAATTCAAAAATGAGGTAAGCTGCAATATTAAGTTGTAATACACTTTTGTGGATATGATTTTATGAAACACGATACGGTACAAAATAAAATATAGTTCCTGTCATTTGAAACCAGAAAACTAAGCGAATTTATTACAAACTCTCTCTAATTTAGTTTTGAACAAACCGCTGCATGGTAAATTAGAATAAATACACATATCTTCTAAGAGTTTAAATAATATTAACGCATACACTGATTCGCTAATAGGAGGATCACCAAATTATTGTCGCTTCGAAATTAAATATCTGACTGAAACAAAGTAAACGCTTTTGCAATTTTTTTTTATTTATACTAATGAATCATCAACTTATATAAATATAAACTTATAATACAATATAATATAAATACAATATAATATAAATATAATATAATATAAATATAATATAACTATATAAACTTCTGATAAATTCATAAGTTTATTAAAATAGTGGTCTAACACACAAACCAACTCAGACTTTTCATTCCATTGATTTGATCATAAGGTTAAAGTTAGTGCACTCAGGGCTAATCTCTGGGATTGATTTGCCGAGTTGAGACAGCACAGGGAATAATTAGTTCTGAATAATGCCATTCTTAGCTCTTTGGCCTTTTTCAGGCCTATGGTAGCTTCAAAGAAATTATACAATCACATTTAATTGAAAACTCCTGAAACTTTGTGTGTTTTTATTCATAATACTCAAACTACATAATATTCGTACTCTAATGATACAGTTTTCAATGTTGTA